AATTGTCAAAAGCAATAGTAGGAATCGAAACCGATCATTCCTCAACTTTTTCCTCAAAGACAATATCTCTAACCTTATTTTTCCTCCCAAACTCAACATCCTCAAAATATGTTACGATTCCCGTTTCAAAAATTGACTTTAAGTGTAGGATCATAAAATTTATACCCCTTGATCGCTCGGAATAATCAATAAAATAGATGTTCACTGTTTTGGAGTTCAATTTATTTTCATGTGGCCTATAAGGCCTTGCCTCAGCTGGACATCCTCAAATGTGAAAATGCTTTAGACTAGGCTTTCTGCTTGTCCAAAGTTCATAAGGTGTTTTAGCAACAGTCTTAGTTTGTACTCTGTTTAGAATATAAGTTGCAGTCTTTAATGCCTCTCCCCAGAGTGATTTTGGTAAGGTGGAATGACTAATCATACTCCTCACCATATCCTTAAGAGCCATGTTTCGTCTTTTAGCTACATCATTCATGCTAGGCGATCCTGGCATGGTGTACTGTGGGACGATACCACATTCTTCTAGGTATTTAGCAAATGGTCCTGAACATTGTTCACCTGAATTGTCATATCTGTCATAGTACTCACCACCACGGTCAGACCTAACACTCTTTATCCTTTTGTTGAGTTGATTCTCAACCTTAGCTTTAAAAGCTTTAAACACGTCCAGCGACTCGGACTTTTCATGGATGAGATATAGGTATCCATAATGTGAGTAATCGTCTATAAATGATATAAAATATTGTTGACCATTCCAAGAAGCCGTAGGGAATGGCCCGCAAATATCTGTGTTTATCAATTTTAAAAAGTCCAAAGTTTTGTTAGAACCTAATCTCTTTGTTTTGGTCTGTTTTCCCTTGATACAGTCAACACATACATCAAAATTCGTGAAGTCGAGGAAATCCAAAATACCATCTGACACAAGTCGTTCAACTCTAGCTTTTGAGATATGACTAAGCGTTTGTGCCATAATTATGCTGATTTTCTTTATTTAATTTGCGTTTAGTACCACGTGATCCCACATGCAATGTCTCATTATATGATGCAATAATATCAAGCAAATATAGGTTATCATATGCAGATAATGAACCAGTATCAATAACATTGGAATTTAATAAAAGACTAAATGGATCATTTCCAAATGAACAACAATATCCAAATTTGTCCAATGAAGAAACAGAAATTAAATTTCATCTAAAAGACGGCACAACAAAAGTATCTTTCAAATCCAAGTAGTAACCAGTTTCTAATAATAACCTAAAAGTGCCTATTGCATCAACTTCCACTGATTTGCCATCACCCACATAGATGTATCTTTCACCATCATTTGGCTTTCGGTAGCTCAGACAGCCCTACATAGAAACACTTGTGTGAGTAGTAGCACCATAATCTATCCACCAAGTGTTTCTAGGTACTGAAGTTAAATTATCCTAAGAACAAACCAAAGTAAGATTTGTACCTTTCTTTGCACGCCATGCGTGATATTTGGTACAGTCCTTCACATGTCCAATCTTATTGCAAAATAAACAAGTTCATTTATCTTCCTTCTGTTTCTTTTGTGCTGGACCCTTATGAGTAGCTTCATATTCCTTCTTCTTTTTCTTGCACTTATTCTTAGAAGTGCTTGCCAAGTGAGTAGTTTCAATTCTATCTTGTTTCAACCTTTCTTCCTCTTGCACATAATATGAAATGATCTCATTTAGAGACTATTTCTCCTTCTGGCAGATATAACTGACCTTAAATTAACTGAATTGTGCAGAAAGCAAGATTAATACCAAATGTACGAGCAAGTCGTCAGACAGCTCAAGTTTTAGCCCCTTAAATTTTGAAGCAATGTGAGACATCTCCATGATGTACTCTCTTATGTTCCCCTTACCTTTATACTTAATTGAAACCAAGCTTTGCAAAAGCATGCTTGTTTCAGTCTTATCATTTTTCGCAAAATATTTCTCAATTTCGACAAGGAACTCCTTGGCATTAGTTACCCCTTCGGATACTGCACCTCTAAAGACTTCCGAAATGCCGTGCTTAATGATCACTTGACTCATGCGATTTGAGCGATCCTACTTCTCAAAGTTCCTCTTTTCATCAAAAGAACTTTATTCCATAAGAGGAGTGGGTTCCTCAATTCGAAGTGCAAGGTCAAAATCTATGCAGCCAAGAACAATCAATATGTTTTCCTTCCAGTCCTTGAAGTTTGTCCCATTAAGCATATAAATGGAATTGACATTAGCAGATATTTGTAGTAGCAGATGAATTAGCTATATAGAGAATAAAAATAAACAAATAATCATGCTCATATCCATATTTAATGAACAATAAATTTAAATAATGGTAATTCCCATATCAAGATACTTAGTGCAATATTAATATCAAGTCTTTGGACAATAATATTAATTGCAAGTTATACTCTTAATACAGTGATCAAACATTGACAATAACTCCTGTCAAATAATAAAATCATCTTTGGATTGATTTATTATTCACATGAAAACCTTATAATTGTCACACATTTACCACCGTAGGTGTGTATGTAATTCGGCCAAGTGTTAACATTCCTTTGGGCCAGCTAATACCCACATGAAGAAACACATACACAATATCTAAACATCCCAAACAAATCAATCTACACAAGAGAGGTCACTTTGGTGATATATTGTTTCAATCAATTTATTCAAAATGTTAAATAACCTTAATTCATTATGAATGATTTACCAAATTATTTGAATTTAATTGTCTCACATAATTAAACCTTAATTATTTCTCTTAAAAGAGTCCTTAATACCATAATTTGAGAAAGAGAATCATTATTTTGCATTATTAGATGCCTTTAAAAACTTTAGGGACCTAAAGGTTAATAATTCAAAACTTCAGGATCAAAATTTGAAAAATTTTAAAACTTAGTGGACCAATTTTAATTAATTATAAAGATTGAGGACTTTAATTGCAAATTTCATAAGTTTAATGGCCCAAATTAAATAATTTTCAAACTTTAGGGGCTTCATTATTAAACTCATAACCTTAAAGGTCCAACTTGGATGGATTTCAATCTTTAGGGATTGAAATATAAATTTTTATTTTGAAATAATAATTAACCCTAATTTTAAATTGTAAGCAAGGGCCTGAGAATATCAAAATTGCACGTCAGGCCCTGTCCCCAAAATTCATCCCTGTATCTCTCTCTCTCTCTCCTAACGGCGCCAGCCAGGAATAGCAGCGTCGGGCACTGCTACAACTGACAGCAGCGTCCAAGTTGCTGCATTTTGCAGCACAAAACACAGCAGCCCGCTACAATCGTCGATGGGCACACCCGCCTTAGGCCAGGTCTTGAGTAATATTTTTTTATTATATATAGATTCAAAAATCTGATAACCAGAATCTGAAATTTCCAAAACATTAGATCTAGAATAATAACTAAGAATAATATATCAAACAATTTTCAAATTCGACAAAAATATATCTATCCATAATTTTCGAAGCTGGAAATTTTAAAATATTGCAAGATCTATATTTCACATAATAACATGATGAAGATGAAAAAAATAATCCACAATATAAAACTGTTATAACATTAATTCTTGCAATATCTCAAGGATTCAATCATGGAGTGGCTCTGATACCAATTGTAGAAAATTGAAAGGAACCAAATTTATCAATCATTTCACATATTTTCATAAATCTTCATGTTGAAATCAGTGAGAAAATAAAATTGTGAAAATGTATCTTGATCCTTAGATCTAAGTGTCTTGAACGGGTTTTGATCTTCTAACAGTTACGTGATTTTTTTTTCTTGAAATCTTCTCTGCTGATGGGGATGCAAATAGTTTTGAAAACTCATTTATATATAACTGATTATTATCTTTCAATTGTTTTAAATTGCCCCATCATCAATTTAAAATAATTATTTCGATATCTACGCTTTAATCACGTGACAATTAATACCCATTAGCCCAAAATTAAATTAAGTGGATTACTTTATCGACTAAATCTTAAAAATAACATCATACATTTTAATATATATACATGTGTGGTCCCACACGATGGAATTTTTCCAACAAGGTGCAAACATTAAAAATGACAATAGAAAGACATAAAACCTCATTGGATAAAGTTGGTGGAGGTGGAGGTGGAGGTGGAGGTGGAGGAGGAGGGGAGGAGAAGTAAAGAGAATTTGTTTCTTATTTCTAATATTTTAATAATTTGTTTGGGAATCGTTCGAACTTTTTCAAAAATTAGGACCGTGATTACAGTTAGTTCTTTATTTTATTTAAATATGAGGATATATTCATCATTTTACTGAGAAATTGAATGAAAATAATGTTTTGCGCAATCCAACATGTAATTAAAGGTGAAATGTCAAAAAATGAAAGGTAAAAATGTTTGCTACAATAATAGTGAAAGACAGTGACGTTATGTGCTAATTATTCAAAAAGGTTTTTTAAGTGTGTGTACCAATTTTCAAACTTATAATTTGAGGAATATGAGAGTTTAAGACATGAAAAAATCTAAAATGCAAATGTAACAGAAAAAAATTCATTATTCATGTATAATACTTGAATCGATTTGCTAAGTGAACATGAGAGACAGGGAGGGAGAGACGGAACATGAATGAAAGAGTAGGCGTAATGGCTAAGTATATATAGAAACACACAATTTAAGCCCTCATTTAGTAACAATTTTTCACTCCCAAAAAATAAAATTTTTTGACTATTATTTCAATATTTCAGTCGTCATTTTTGATTTTTTCATTTATAGGTGGGATCCACTTTTCTCTCTAACGACGGTCAAAAAATCAATTCTCATTAATCATTACTGAATAGGCCATAAATTATTTGCACCATCAATTGCATCACAATATTTGCTCATATTTGCCCTTATAGTTTCCATTTTTTTGTCATATTTTTATTCTTAATCTTCGAATAATCAGCACGTCTTGTCTTTAATAACGATTTCTATCCAAGTATTTTGCTAATGTGCATTCAAATGATAGAAAAATATTTTGTCAAACTTTTATATTTATTGTTTATTTCGGCTATTTAAAAATACTTGTGGCCAAAAAAGGAAGCCACAGTATAATTTCAGACATGCAATCCAAGACATCTTCTTATTTAGCGAACCTCTTGCAGTTTTGCATAGACAAGAAAGTCCACAGGGCTGGAAAACTCTTGCATGCCTACGTTCTTCGTACCAACCAGTTTTCTAACACTTTCCTCGTTAATCGTCTGATCGAGCTCTATTCAAAATGTGGGCACACAGCTTCCGCTCACTGCCTGTTCAATCAAATGCCTTCAAGAAACATATACACTTACCACGCAGTTTTAGATGCCTATTGCAAATCAAATGACATAGAAAATGCGTATGAAGTGTTTGCTCAAATGCCCGAGAGGAATAGTGTAACTTGGAATTTAATAATCACCACGTTATCGCATAATGGTTTTGAAAAGAAGGCTTTGGAGAGTTTTTATTTGATGAGGATGGGTGGTTTTGAGCCAACACGTTTCACGTTGGCAAGTGTTCTAAGCGCTTGTGGGGGTGTGAGTGATGTGGAGTGTGGGAAGGAGTGCCATGGTGTTGCTATCAAACTTGGGCTTGAGGGGAATTTTTTTGTGGGCAATGCTTTATTGGGAATGTATGCCAAATGCGGATTTGTTTGGGAAGCGGTTGAGATTTTTAAGGGCTTGCCAGAGCATAATGAGGTGACATTTACCGCTATGATGAAGGGGCTAATGGAAACTGACCGCATCCACGAAGCATTTGACATGTTCAAGTTGATGCATAGAGTAGGGATCAGTATAGATTCCGTGTCACTGTCAAGTGTTTTAGGTGTTTGCGCTAAAAGTAGTTTTGAAGATTTTGTTGTATTTAATGACAATGATGGGAATTGGCATAATGTGCATGGAAAGCAAATACATGGACTTGTTATTAAACTCGGATTTGAAAGAGATCTGCAATTAAATAATTCACTGCTAGATATGTATGCAAAACATGTAGACATGGAGTGTGCTGAAATGTTATTCGATAATATGTCTGAAGTTAGTGTTGTTTCATGGAATGTTATGATAGGTGGTTTTGGCCAGAAATACAATAAGGAAAGAGCAATGGAGTACATGGAAAAGATGAAGAACCATGGATTTGAGCCCAATGAGGTTACACTCATCAATATACTTGCTGCTTGTGTGAGAAGTGGGGATGTTGTAACTGGGCGTCAGATGTTTGAAGATATGTCATGCCCAAGTTTGAGCTCATGGAATGCTTTACTATCAGGCTATTCACAGAATGAGCACCATGGGGAGGCATTGATGCTTTTTAGAGAAATGCAGTTCAAAAATGTCCAACCTGATCGAACAACTTTTGCAATTGCTCTCAGTTCATGCGCACAAATGGGGCTTTTGAATGGTGGAAAGCAAGTTCATGCTGCCTTATTGAAGGATGTGGTTTATGCTGATTTATATGTTGCCAGTGGACTCATTGGTTTGTATTCCAAGTGTAGTAAGATAGAAATGGCAAAACATGTTTTTGATGAGCTGCCCCAGAATGACATTGTATGTTGGAATTCCATGACGGCTGGTTTATCTCTCAATTCATTGGACGCAGAAGCTTTTATTTTTTTCAAGCAAATGCTAGGAAAAGGGATATTGCCAACTGAATTTTCTTTTGCTACTGTACTGAGTTGTTGTTCGGCTTTAACTTCTTTGTCTCTAGGGAGGCAGATTCATGATCTATTAGTAAAGTATGGATTTGCAGTCGATGTTTATGTAGGGAGTGCTCTTATTGGTATGTACTGTAAATGTGGTGATGTGGATGCGGCCCGGTGGTTTTTCGACAAGATGCCCTGCAGAAACACTGTAACCTGGAATGAGATTATTAATGGTTATGCACAAAATGGACGTGGAGATGAAGCTGTTAATTTATTTGAAAACATGATTCTAACTGGTATCAAACCTGATTACATAACCTTTATTGCTGTTTTAGCAGCTTGTAGTCATTCTGGATTGGTAGATTCTGGAATAAAACTATTCAATTCAATGCAGCAAGAACATGGTTTAGAGCCACTTGTGGAACATTACACTTGCATTATTGATTCTCTAGGTCGTGCTGGTCGGATAAATGAAGTAGAGGCACTTATAGATAAGATGTCATGCAACGACGATCCAGTTGTTTGGGAGGTCTTGCTCAGTTCTTGTAGGGTTCATGCCGATGTAAACTTAGCAAGGAGGGCAGCGAATGAGCTTTTCCGCCTGGATCCAAAGAATTCTGCTCCATATGCACTTCTTGCCAGTATTTATTCATCTTTAGGGAGATGGGATGAAGTGAAAGAAATCAGAGAAATGATGATAGAAAGGCAGGTTTCCAAGGATCCAGGTTATAGTTGGGTTGAACAGAAAACCAGATTGCATACATCCATGGTTATATGAATTGAACTTCTGATCACGATTATGAACCAGCAAATGGCGAAGAAATCTTTCTTGTGCTCAGGTCGTGGTGCAATAATCTCTGTAACTACTGTCCTTCCTCGTGCAAAATGCAGAGACAGCTAGATTTTCAATCCCCCAACTCTAAAACTAAACATTGGATTTTAAAAGAACTTCTATCTCATTCCTTTGACAGAACTAGTATGGAACTTTCAAGCTTTTGAATGTCATAGAGCGAGCTTAAGGTTGACTTTGTATTGTTTCGACTTAGAACACTGTTGCATGACTGCTTGAATCTGGGAGACAATTTCAGTCTCCAATTGACAGTTCACAGACAAAAAGGTGACAATTTGCTTGTACCTGTTGCCAAGATGTGCTGTTTTCTATGCTTCCATCCTATGAAACTCTTGAAGGAGGTTCTCTTAATTGAAGAGATAATGTCTTCAGCACAACAAAGAATGCCTGAACATTAATGGAATTGGCCATCAATGAAGGTATGTGATAGGATCCCCTGCTGCTGTACTTCAACTACTGAAATCCCCCCTTTGCTGTTATGGATTATACTAACACCCAGATGCTGGCTGCTGCTGATCTAGGAGAAATGTTAGGCAATGATTTGCTGAATTGTAAATAGATTTATTGAAATTCATAGAAACTGAAAATAGAAATTGAAAGAACAATTTCAAGTATTCGTGAGGCTGGATCTCTCCTAATAGACTCAATCAACTACTCAATATTTGCATGTCATTCTGATCTCTCTTCTAATACATTTTGACTACTACTTCCACCCTTATTCTCCGAACTACCCCTGATAACTGACTGGATTGGAACACTCAAGAATATTTTCCTTTTCTTTATTTTTTATTTATTTATAGAGGAGTGTATATTTGTCATTTTGTTGATTTTAATTGAGAAAATTGATGAAAATAATGATTTTTGCAATGAAATATAAAATTAAGGGTGAAAATGTCAAAAAATGAAAGGTATGAACGTTTTGCACAATAATAATAAAAGGTGTTGACATTTTGTTCTAATTACTCTTTTGATAATTTATTTGGATTCATTTGTGCCTTTTTGAAAAGTTTGGGAGTATGATTGCAATATACTCTGTAACTTTTCTTTTCTTTTTTATTGTTTTATTTAAACAAGGGGTATATTTGTCATTTTATACGAAAAATATGATGAAAAGGATGATTTCGACGATAAAAGGTGAAGGTAACAGTAAAAATGTCAAAAAATGAAAGGTATAAAGGTTTTGCATAATAACATTGAAAGAGAAGAACGTTTTGTGCTAATTACCCATACAAATAAATAATGTGATTCCATTTTAAATAGTTTAAACTTTCTAACGGACACTCATACATGTCTCCTAAGGGGCCTACTAAAGCTATCTAGTCGGCAAATAGCCAATCATCAAACCTAATGAGACCACATAATTAAACCAAAAATGGCTCGTGCTTCTGGAATTAATTCTTCCATGTTCCAACCTATATACAACTTATTAAGCTATGCCTTTTTAATGTCTCACATTTTGCCCAAAATGGCCAAGGACTAATTGTATCGATATGTAAAATACAAGACTTCCAACCTAGGTAGGAAAGGGAGAAAAATAGATGCTCAATTTAAATTGGATTATGCAGAAAGCCGTATTCTGTGAAAGTCACATGTACAACTTTCGAGGGAGATCGTAAATATTGTTCGAGATCCACCTACAATGTATGATGAAAAAAGTCAATACATAATATAAAAGGTCATTTTCACCCCTATACTTGTAATATCCAGTTCTACAGATATGAAGATAGAGCATCATCAACCCCAATGAGACCCTGCAATTTTATCCATCAGATGGTATAGGAAACCTCAATTTACACAAACCAATGAACAAAATCACCCTGCCTTCTCTATATAAACCCAGTGAGCCCCCAACCAACCAATCCAATATCCTATAAAATATTAGGACTTCCAGTATACTCAAACACCGAATATAAAAAATGAAGAGCATTTTCTTCTCCATGGTTCTTGTCCTCTCCCTTCTCTACTGCTTTGCTCATTTGAGCAATGCAGCCATCCCATGTGGCACGGTTGACATGAAGGCAGCTGCCTGTATCTCGTTTGCCACCGGGAAGGACGCGAAGCCATCCGCTGCATGCTGCAGCGGCCTGCAACAGCTTGCACAGACCGTGAAATCTGTCAATGACAAGAAGGCCATCTGCCGGTGCCTCAAGGCCGGTGTCAAGAACTTTGCCGGAGTTCAGGAGAAGTTCTTGACCCAGATCCCGAATGCTTGCAAGATCAAAGTTGGTTTCCCTGTTTCCATGAACACAAACTGCGAAACGTAAGTGCCACCCAACTGATCAAAATTTTCATTTATGTATCATAATAATATACAAAAGGTCTAAATCGATATTCGTTTTGCAGGATCCACTAAGGTTCGTGCTTTGGAGATGATCAAAGATTGCTGTGATGTTAGGAATGAAATAGATGTTGAATAAAACGCACTGTTCTGTGCAAATCCTAGTGGATTCTTCACTGCTGGTGTACTGCACTATGCACGTAATTTGACTTTCAATTTAGAATCAAAACGAGAAGTTTCATCTATTGCTCATGCTAACAGCATTTCATTACCTTTCTACTTATATCGGGTAATCCAAAAGATTCATTAAACAGTAAAACGACCTCAGTAAATAAAATAAGAGGATTCAATAATTTTCTCAAATATTTGCAATTATGACCCAGAAACTTACTTACAATCTTCACAATAAAATCACCATGGAATCTCTTGACCATCCCAGGTGAAAAACTTGCTGTTTTCTGATCCCTTAGCATTGTTAATGATGCTTAATAGCTTCTGGACTGAGAACTCTTTGGTGAAGAGCTTGCTGTCTGGAACAATTCCCTGACATGGTCTAGATAAATCTGTGTCTACCATGCCCGGATGCAATAAAATGCATTTGATTGGATCTCTCTTGTGTGCAAATTTCACTGATACAGTCTTGATCACTGCAAGCATCGAAAAAATGGAGTTAAGACAATCAAGAAAGCATTATCACTTCCTCTTTTTTCTTTTCTGATTCGAGCCAAAAGGATTCGATACATGAAAAAAATAAACCCATTTATCTCAACAATTAAGAAACACTACTACATATCATGTACATTCTAACTAAATGAATTCTCTGGCTATTTTCCAAGTTTGAGGTTTAATACATATGAGGTACCAAATCAAAGAAGTTCAAGTTTCAAAAGGAAAATGTCATGTCCAACAAGGGTACCAACAAAAAGCAAATACTCACACTGTGTAAGAGCGACTTAGATTCCCTATATGAGTGCCATTTTCAAAGAGGATTATCTCCAATTGATCCGACCCTGCACTGATGTTGGTAACGATAGTCAAATATCATTTTGTCCCAGAGCCATCTCCAACCTTGAGCTAGGGCCACATTTGCTGTTCATACGAATCATAAATCAATAGGATTAGTTCCGTAATAAGTTTCTCAATCAAGATAAGAATATAAGGATCGAAACTATTTTCCTTCAGAAATGAGAAAACTTTATTCTTTAGCAACTGCAATACAACACGTATTTGATAATGCGAATGTTTTGTATACTGAGATATACATAACTTCTGATTAGCAATCTTGATCTCTACAAAAGTTATTTGCAGCTGTAACAGATCATGTACCTTAAAACTGAAATAATTGCAAATGAAATAAGACAATGCACCGAATCTAATTTCTCATATCTTTCTTAGCAGGGAAAATGAAATAAAAAAGAGAGAGAGACACCTTGACAACCAAAATAGGACCAACGGCATTGATCTCATAAGCAAGAAGCAAGGATTCTCTCTATACTTTGCTCAATGTTGTTTCTATACTGGAAGTGAACAAAATCATTTTACTGAGTCAAGAATAGAAAACATTAATGTAGGGCCGATTTTCAGCAAACACCAAGTTCAAACCAGGCTCAGTTTCACCTATTTAGTCGACACCACCAAGGATTGAGAAAACTCCAATACCACCACGAAGGGCGCCCCACTTTCGGTTGCTATGGGTTGGGAAGATGATGTACAATAATATGCCCACTAGCAATTAACCACAAAGGTCACAGAGAAGAGATGAAAACGGAGAGGTGAGTCTCACGAAGAGAGGTTGGGCATTCTTCTATTTGAGGCCGAGAGAAAGACAAGAATATAAGCCAGGTAAATACCCAAACAAGGTAAGTTAGGTTAGGATTATTTAGTGGACCAAACAAGGCTCGACTCAAAGATAATGGGCTTCAAATTAATAACATAGCTTTCCAAGAAGATGGGACGAACCGTGAGCAACACTATTAATAGTAGGTTGCTTCGAACGGTCCATACGAATGTGGTTTGAGTTGTCTCGATAATTGTGTCGATATACTAATCAATCATATGGCCAAGGCCGATTGATAATAAAATCGGGGTTACATCATAGCCCGGGGGGTCGTTTGACAACAAATTGCCTAACAATTAAGCTAACTATAATAACACGTTAAAAATCATTTCACTGTCAAAAGGATCAAAGTTAAATATTGAGATAAATTTGTAATTTGTACAGGGTTATTTTAGTCTTTTTGTATTCTCTAGTTACTGCACTGTCTATAAATACCCAATGTATCACGCCATTTTCATTGACTTGTAATACAAAAATTTTCCCGCCTTTTTACTATTTTCTTCAGCTCTCTTGTTGCAAAATTATCATGGTATCAGAGCATTGCCTCCTATAATTATGTCATCTACATAGATGGGGAGAACTGTAAATGAGCCGCCTTCCTCCTTACAAAACAATGAATAATCTGATTTTGATTGCCTAAACCCCTTTGATAAGATGTATGCAGTCAACTTTGCATTCCACTGCCTTGACGCTTGCTTAAGTCCATAAATGGACTTGTTTAGTTTGCAAACCAGCTGCTCTCCATCCACACCCTGCTCCTCATATCCCGGAGGCATAAGCATATATACCTGCTCATCGAGTTCACCATGCAAAAAAGCATTATTAATATCCAGCTGATGAAGGTGCCAACATTTCTGTGCCGCAACAGCCAACAAGGTCTTCACTGTGACCAGTTTTGCAACAGGTGAAAAGGTTTCCTCATAGTCCAACCCAGCCTGCTGTGTGAACCCTTTAGCTACAAGGCCAGCCTTCTTTCTTTCCTCCGAACCATCTGCATGAAGCTTGACCTTAAACACCCATTTACAAGCTATTGGTGTCTTGTGAGAAGGCAGCTTAGTGACAGTCCAAGTATTATTGGACACAAGTGCTTGATATTCAGTATCCATAGCCCTACACCAATCCTGATGTTGTGATGCTTCGGCATAGGATTGAGGCTCATAGATAGTAGAGAGAGCCAGTGCATATTTTCTATGAGGAGCAGATAGCATATTGTAGCCCAGATAATCTAAAATGGGGTACTGTTTACTAGATGCAGAATCTTTTACCAAGGAATCAGATTGGGGATAAGGTTTCTGAGACACCAAATTACAATGGTAATCACGAAGGTATGAAGGAGGGTGTTTGGTTCTGTTAGATTTTCGAGTGACAAGAACAGGTGAATCAGAATTCATAGGAGAATGATGATCAAAACTGAATTCTGGAGTGCTAGAAGAAAAACTAGGAGGAGAAGTAGCTGATGTTGGGGAGTGATGATTCGAATGAGTTACTGGGGTATGTGCAGATGGGAAAGATGGAATATCATCAGAAGGATAAAAATGTGGATGGAATAGAGGCTGATCAACTTCAAGGGAAAAACTGAAATTTGATAAAGACTTTAGGAGATCTGAGTTACGAAATAGAAATATGTTCTCATGAAATATGACATCTCTTGAAGCAAGGATGGAATGGGATTGAAGATCATACAATTTATAGGCCTTCATGCCATGGGGGTATCCAAGAAATATACAAGGCTTGGCTCGTGGATCAAATTTTGTTCTATTCCTTTTTAGGGTGGATGTATAGCAAAGGCATCCAAAGACCCTTAGATGATTGTAAGATGGTTTTTCTTGGTATAACATTTCAAAAGGAGATTTGTTTCCAAGAATAGTAGTGGGAGTTCGATTGATAAGGTGTGTGGCAGTTAATATGCAATCTCCCCAGAATTGGTTAGGTAAATTAGCTTGGAATTTTATGGCACGAGCTACATTAAGTAAATGTTGGTGTTTGCGTTCAACAACCCCATTTTGTTGGGGTGTTTCAATACAGCTTAATTGATGCAACATTCCCTTGGAAAGGTAGAAATCATGCATGTGAAACTCAGATCCATTGTCTGACCTTAAGACTTTTAGGTTGCATTGGAAATGTGTTTGGATCAAATTATAAAATGATTGGATGATGGACCTAGTTTGAGATTTTTCTTTCATAAGATATGTCTATGCCATTTGGCTATAATCATCAACAATGGTCAAAAAATATTTCGAACCATCTAAGGCAGGAATAAAATGTGGTCTCCAGATGTCACAATGTATGAGATCAAATATGTTTGAACTTCTGGTGTCACTTTTAGGAAAAGGTAGCCTATGTTGTTTTGCTATAGGACAAATGGTGCAATGCAAATGTTGATCAAAGGTAATTGTAGGTACAATTTTATGCAACAGTGATAGTTTGGAAGTAGGAATGTGTCCCATTCAACAATGCCATATATCAATGTCAGTATGAATATCCTTTTTACATGGAAGATTACATACAGCAGGATCAGAATTATTACAATCAAGGTGTAGAGTAGGAACCTGTACATCACTGAAGGAAGCTACATTGTTGAGAACAGGAAAGATAGACTTTGTTGGAATACTTTGAGAAGTGGAAGAAAATTGCCCATTGAATTGATTATCAGAACATTGGAAATGATATAAACCATCTCCAAGTTTCCCTACCCCAATCGTCTTCCAGGTGAAAAGATCCTGAATAAAGCAAAAGTGATTTAAGAATAACAATAAACATTTATGCTTGATAACAAGATTGCTAGCAGAAATCAGATTAAAGTTGAAGCTTGGCACAACTAATACATCAGTCAAGGTTAATGTATCAGATAGCTTCAAAATACCAATGTGTGTAACTTGTGCAATATCCCCATTTGGTAATCTTACTGAACCTTTAGTTTTACTAGTCACAACAGTCAATTGATTAATGGAACACACCATATGTTCTGAAGCCCCAGTATCAATGATCCATTTACCTGGATTTAGATAGCATGCACGATTACCTGAAAATGCAAAGGCATCAGGTGCATGGATAGAAAAAGACATAACCTCCTGAGGTTGTTGACCTTGTAGCTGTGGAGCAAGCATGGTCATAATCTGCTGGCGTTGACTTGGTGTAATAGTGAGGTTGGACAAAGAATTAATCAGCTCTGAATTATTTGCCTGGGACGCCTGACATACAGCATTAGCAACTGAAGATTTCCCTTTGGCAAGCCTATACCCAGGGAGATATCCAATCAATTTGTAACATTTCTCTTTGAGATGGCCTGACATTCCACAATAAGTACATATAGGCGTTCCTTTCCTTTGAGTTTGATTGGATACATTGTGTCTCTGATTTCCATATGAACTAGACACAACCTTGTTGGCAAAAGCCGCTACATCAA